TAGTTCCAGCAAAATCCCCAAGGTGGATGCTCATTGGCTGTGAGGGCTCAGACGAGGGTCACGTGTCCTTTTCTGAACCAATTCCTTCAATCGGGATAAAGCACACTGATGAATCTCCTAGATAAGGAATCGGAGTTCCTTTCACCCAGACTCCATCCACTGAGAGAGTGGGGCAGGGGTGGTTCCATAAAGGAAAACCAGGGTGCTCGTGCCAGAGAAGGGGAAATGCATGTTGGGCAGGAAAACCAGCAAACATCCACTAGAGGCACCCTGCATCGTTACCAAGGTGACAGCATGCCACTTGGTACAAAGGCGATAGTGACTATTTGTTTACTTCTTGCAAGAGGGTCAGGAGAACAGCCACTCAAGTGTCAGGCTGCAAAGCAGGGAAGGAGGAGCCACAGTGGCAGCCACCAGCCCACCGGCCCGCCTGCCCCTGAACACCCACCTGTGTGTCACCTTAGGTGCGTGTGCCATGGAGCATTTCCCTGGGAACACGAACCCCAGACGCTGGTTCGTGCCTCATGACAATCCAGATAACCTATCCCCCACCGTGAAATCCGCTGCTTGTCGGGGCTCTAACTCACCCGTCAGGAGTAGACATCTGTGAGTCTGAGACAGAGCACTTGGTAACGCAGGTAAACACCCAGAACAAGGACATCATTAGGAGGCATTATAGAACAGTGCTTTGCACTAACTGCTTCATATAATGTTCGCTGCCTCTTTGCTGATATTACCAAATGAAGGCTGTTTCTTAATGACTCATTTTTATTATCATTATCACTGTCACAAGGATCATCTAATTCATTTATGCTGCACTTGTTGCTGTAGAATCTAGATGATGGTCCTCTAGGCTGGTCCTGACTATCAGACTGCTCGGCGCGACCAGGCCAGAGGGACTGCGGACACTCTGCAGTGTTTCTTCAGAGCTCACACCACGCCACAGTGCCCTGTTCTGTTCTGTGCCCCTACTAAACTGTGAGGTGCTTAAACCACAGGGACTGTCTCTTGGATCCCCAGTGTCCCCTTACTCAGCACATTATAACCACTCACTAAATGTTTGTAGAATAAATGCTATGCATAGTGATTGCAAAACAAAGAGAAATCAGACACAGTCCCTACTGTGAGGACCTTAAAGTCTATTCATTACAAAAGCAGCCATACTAAGGGTGGCACCAGCTGATGTTAATGGAGTGCTAGGAGCCTGCTGCAGAGCTGAGTGCTGTCCACGCATTACCCCATTCAATGACCTTGACAGCCCCATTCCACAGCAGAGGAAGCTGAAGTTCGTGGAGTAGGCTCTCATCACATCATTTGAAAGTGGTGGAGTCAGGGTTTCGACCGGGGTCTGCCTGATTATAATGCATATTTCTAACCCCTAAAGTGATACCACTTCTGTAAAGACGGGGTAAATAAAAAGTATGGCAGAAGCTGAAATAAATTAATACCCACAGGACTGGCAGGGAGTTGCGACATCAAAGTAAATCTTTTGTGAAGGTATTAAGTGGGTCCAATTGTTTAACGATTAGGGGCGTGTGGGGAATGGGGCAGAGGAGCCAAGCAGAGATCTAGAGATACGTCCGTGGCACCACCTGAAGGCCCCTGGGAGGGTGCAGGGGCTGTGGAACCAGCAAGCACCTCCTGTTCCCCCTGGGTTCTCTCTAGGCTAGAAGAAGGGCCTTCGTGGAGGAAGTATCTGCACGTTTTATAAATATGGGGTCAAAAGAGCAAGAAGGATGCACTCTGGCCCTCGCAGTTTATGTTCTCGCAGAGTGTGAAGAGACATCTCAGTGTCACTGAGAAATGGAGATCAGGGACCACATCTGTCTAAACTGTGTACTTTGTAACTTACCCCAAGCAGTTCTTTCTGCTGCTTTTCACCATTTCCTCAGAGATGGGAGCAGGAGCCGGAGGAGAGGGCAGCACCGGAGTGGACCCCCCGGGGGTCAGCCGGGAGGAAGGGGTGTGAGTGGGGCAACTGCCCTGAGAGAGAAAAGCAAAACAAGTGATTCCTGAGGCCGTGGCCACGTGAGCAACAGAGACCCCGAAGTCTGGTTGAATAGGAGGCCTCTTGCCAAGCAGAGGGTGGGGTTTCTGGAGAGGACCTGAGGAGCCAACAAACTCAGAGCTGGTCTGTCCGCCACGAGTGGGCTGTGGAGCTGCGGGAAACGTCCGTCAGGGCTCAACAACCAAACGTGTCCAGTGATCTCCTTTGTTCATCCGACGATCAGTGGTCATGTGTGGATACGTGTGGGTGTCCCGTGTGTGTGCACTGAGCCAGGTCATGGGAATCCAGGAGGAGCGGTGATCCTGCTGGGGATCTCGTGTGGGACACAGATGACACTGGTAACAGTGACACGGTGTGAGAAGCCTCCCAAAGGGGTAAGCAGAGGGGGCTCTGGGAGTAGAAGGAAGACAGAGGTACTAAAGAAACATTATTTGTCAAAGAGAACAGTATTTGTGACACTTGTCGGAGATGGTAAGGAAGACTTTATTCAAGGTGGTAGGACCACTGCCATGGGCTTTGTAGCAGGGGAGAGAGATGGGACTCCGTCTGAACACCGCAAAGGACACTGGGAAATTACAGCCAGGAGCAGGGCGGGGGCAGGGGATGGAAAAGTCCTGAGAGGAAACATCGGCGCCACGAGGGAGTCTGGCCACACAGACCCAACAGGGCTCTTGCCGCAGGCGGGCCGGGGTGATGTCAACGGTGCTCAGATACTGAGGATTCTGGCTAAAATGACTTAGCGGATTTTTGCTAAAACTAAACGACACAGAGACAAACACAGAAGTCCAAATGCTGAGGCCTACTTGGAAACGGGCTCAGGAGCAGAGTTGGGTCAAGCAGAACATGTCCATCAATACCTACCCCAGACCCAGGGGAAGAAAGAGCGCTGGGTGGGCTCCAGAGAGCCCAGAGAGCACAGAAGCTTGAACGGCATCCCTGGGGTGAAGCATGGGAGGGGGGGCAAGGTGCCGGGGGCCCCTCTGGACCTGAAAGCAGCAAAGCTCAAAAATCAGGCAGTAGGAGACAGCGTGACATTTCTAGGAACTGCAAGAATCGTGGTCAGGTTTGGGCTCCTAGGGAGAGGTGGGAAGTGGCCAGAGACGGCACTGGGCCAGCCACCCTCAGAGTTTGGACTTCCTCCATCACCAGGTTTTCCTTCCAAAGGGCAGCTGTCTTGGGTGGTTAGTGCCACAACTACCAAAAATAAGATGCCAGCCCTTGGAAAACATCCGATTCCGAGACCCAGCCGTCTCGCAGGCAGAGCCGAAGGAAGCGCTTTGTCCCTCTTTCTCTGTCCCCCAAACCCTCACGGCCTGAGAAGATGCATTCTGGGCTCGAGGGCATGTCAGAAATCACGTCACGTTTCCAGCCTAATTTTAGCTCAGAGAACTTACCTTCGTGACGCTTGAGAATGACCTGGAACCCTTTAAAAGAAATACTGACGCCCGGGCCACCCTCAGAGAGGCACTGGCATTTTTTAAAGCTCGCCGGGTGGTCCTCAGTGCAGCCAGGGGCAGGAACGACAGAAAAATGCACAGCTTAGCAACACTAACTTTCAAGAAGAGTACGGACTCCCCTTGCCGGGGACTCCTGTTAAGAAGATTCTGGGTCAACTTTGCAAACCTTCCTGGCAGATCTTCAAAAGCGCCTATGTCAACTGCTGAGCCTTCTTCATGTCCCACCCCCCTTTTATAGATAGCTACAGAAGGACCCTGTTCTAAAACTAAGTAAGGGAGAGGGACAGCTGGAGCAGCAGGGTGACCTCACCCCTCTCTGGCCACCTAGGCCTCACCTCCCTCCCGGCCGGCTGCCCGGGCAGCAGTGATGTCGTCAAGGATCCCTTTCCCCTGGAGTCCCCGGACACCAAGCAGGCCTCATTAGCGCCTGACTCACGCTCACCCAGGCCCACACAGCACCTTCCTCCTCAGCCCACCTCCAGATCTATTTTTCTCCCATTTGCCCGCTTTTTTCAGTGCAGCTGGCTTTTGTTTCCTGGGCCCCAAAAAGCACGTTTTTGGAATGGAAATGTTACTGGAAGAAAGTGGGTGGCTTCGGGCGCTGGGGTCCTGGCCCATCACCCCTCATTGCTCTCCCCCAGAAATGCCATTTGTCAGGAGCAGCAACAGACAAGCCCTCGAAGGACTTCCCCAGGCACTGCCTGGTTTTGATCCTTCCTCACAGAGAGACAGCAAGTCGTTAACTCAGAGCTCTGGGTTGTTTCTTGCAGCAATTAACAGCTGCCCTCATGTTAAATCCCAGTCAGTAGCCCCTCCAAGTTGTTGCCCTTTAGCTGTGGGCTTCTGGCCTCACAGCACGTTCTGAAAGTAACTTGTTGGGACAATGGGACCACCCCTCCCACTGCTCCCCATGAAAGCCTCGCCAGGCTTCCTAAGGACACCAAGGGCCCCTTGGTGAAAGTCAGGGGTCAAGGGTCTGGCCGGTGCGGCTCAGTGGTTGAGCATCGACCTATGCACCATGAGGTTCCTGGTTCGATTCCTGGTCAGGGCACATGCCCAGGTTGTGGGCCCGATCCCCAGTGGGGGCATGCAGGAGGTGACCAATCGATGTTCTCTCTCATCAATGTTTCTATATCTCTCTCCCTCTCCCTTCCTCTCTCTCTAAAATCAATAAAGGAAAAAAAATTTTTTTAAAAAAAAAGAAAGTTAGGGGTCAAGGGACAGCATGAGCAAGCTAGGGGCTCTACCCACCTCCTTCAAGTTGAGTGATAACTTGGGAGACAGCAGGAACCAAGTCCTTCCTTAGAGCAACAGCAGCCCCTTGGGATATTCATGAAGCTTTCATTTTTCCATTTTGGCTTTTTTAGGGGGGAATTCTTTTTTTCTGTTTGTTTTGAGATGGCTGTATTTTTCTTCCATGTAAAAAAAAAAAGAAAGAAAGAAAAAAAAAATCTCTCATTCCATCCATCTTTTTTTTTTTTTTTTTTAATTCAAATAGCCATCATTTCTCATTTTTTGCCTGTTGCTTCCTGCAGCTCCCTGTGGACAGAATGAGACCCGAGAGGATGGTAAAATAATTCAGCTGCCTCCCTGCAAGACAGGAGCCTGGATCGTGCCAGCCATTATGGCCTGCTACCTTTTAGTGGCGAACATCCTGCTGGTCAACCTCCTCATCGCTGTCTTTAAGTAAGTGGGTCCTTCTTCAGAGCCCTTAGGATGAAGTGGGGGAGCTGGAGGGTGTGATGCTTCGGAAAGCAGTGGAGCCTCTCACATGATTCTCTCTGGTCTCTGTTTCAGCAATACATTTTTCGAGGTAAAGTCAATATCCAACCAAGTGTGGAAGTTTCAGAGATATCAGCTCATCATGACTTTCCATGAAAGGCCAGTTCTGCCCCCGCCTCTGATCATCTTCAGCCACATGACCATGATATTCCAGCACCTGTGTTGCCGATGGAGGAAGCATGAGAGTGACCCAGATGAAAGGGACTATGGCCTGAGTAAGCTTTGAGTGACAGCCCCCCGCAGCTGCCAATCAGATATCCCTACCACTCCCCGTGGGCAGTCATGCAGGACCGTGGGCTCTGAAGACTGGGAGGGGAAGGGGGCATGCTTGCCAGAGACCCAGTAGAGCCTGAAGTCAAGCATTCTTAGCCTCACCTCTTCCTTTTTTTTTTAATCCTCACCTGAGCACATGTTTATTGATTTTAGAGCCAGGGGAAGAGGGGAAAGAGAGAGAGACAGAGACAGAGACAGAAAGACATGAGAGGAAGAAACATCAATCGGTTGCCTCTCCTATGTGCCCCAGTTGGGGATCAAACCCACAACCTAGTGATGTGCCCTGAATGAGAAGCGAACCCATGACCTTTTGATGTACAGGATGGTACTTTACTCAACGGAGCCACACTGGCCAGGACAGCCTCACATTTCTTAGTGAGATAAAACCAGCCTCCAGCAGGACTGTTTTAGTAGCTCGTAGGTTCTAAGTTTCTTACTTTCCAGAGGTCCCACCACAAAATATATCAACCACGTTTATATGCTCCCAATGCTGCATTATATATAACTTAAGCACCGTTACATGAGCTGAATTGAGTGGCAGGTGACTATGTTTGATTTCCTCCATCATTTCTGGACCTATCATTTTTCAGGTGAACACATTCCAAGCCTTAGGGGTTGTGCTTATGTGACTTCATGAAGACACCAAACCTGCTTTCCATTATGCAAAGGGCTAAACAGAAGGCCCTCCACCACCCACCTTCTAGTCCAGTGTTTCCAAAAGGAAGTCCCATCAGCATTGGGGCAGAACAATACTTCATTGTATAGGATTGTCCCACACATGGAGGGGATTTAGCACATCCGGCCGCCACACATTAAAAACCAATAGCTCCTACAGACTGCTAAATATCCCTTGGGTACCACCCACATTTCAGAACCACTGGGCATCCAGCCCTGTACAAGCAAGCTACAGTGGTTTCTCAAGTACACCGCCTACACGAAATCTACTTAGCGAGCCAGAGCCTCTAGCATGAAGGCCCGGGAATTACCTCCAGGTGATCACTAGTGGGTCTAAAGTTTGCAGCCAAAGCCATTTAATCTAAGGCAAAAGCTTTTTAACAACTTCCATAACACAGCAATGCCAACTCTTTCTTGGCATTAAAATTGGAGAGTCGGAAGGGGCTAAGATTTCTAAGTTCAGTATCCACCTGAAACATCAATTTAGACAAATAGCAAACGGGCAGAGGAGGGGGAGGTTCACATTTACACGGGGCCATTTCCTGTGCCTTTATCAGTTATGAATTAGTGTACCTGCAATTAACAGAAAAGCAGACTAACAATAGCACAAATAAGTAAGGTTTTCTTTTTCTCACAAGGTGACTAGGTTGCTAACCCCAGCACAGGAGTGACTCACTGCAGTCAAAGACCCGGAGTCCCACTTTTAGGCTCAACTATTCATTAATGCACTGTCTTGCCTCATGGTAGCAAAGTAGCTGCTTTGACTTTCAGTCATCACATTTGTGTTCAAGGTACACACACACACACACACAATAGGGGGAAAAGGGATAAAGACCCAACCAGATCACTATCGTTTATCAGGAAAGCAAAATCTCCGCCTGATGCACCAGCCCTCCCTACAGCACACTTCTTTTGTCTCTTGAGCCAAACTAGGTCTGATCACGGCTGCTCCCTTGCAGGGAGGCTAGACTTGTGTGTGTTTGGCTTTCCAGCCTCAGTAGTAGGAAGGGAGAAAGGGGAGATGAGGTTGCAAAAGGGCTTTCAGTAAGGCCAGTGAACAATGTCTGTCTGCCCGCCTGGAAACTGAGTTTTAAAGAAACCTCCATTCGCTGTGTAGCTTCCCTTTTCTTGATGTAGCTACATGTTTGGCCTTACAACGTGAATGACCGTAAGCAGTCCCTGCAGTAAAACAGATACATTCAGGTGAACTTTGGAGACCCATCGTGAATCTAATGCACAGAAAGGGGACGGTGACACAAGAGGACAGATTTGGATTTAGTCTGAGATACTCCTCCTAACCTTGGTTCAGATGAGGCATGTCATTAGGCCCACAGATCAGACCCCATGGCTTTTACTTCCCTGCCTCACATCTCATTTCTTTCCCACAGAACTGTTCATAACTGATGATGAGCTCAAGAAAGTACATGATTTTGAAGAGCAGTGCATAGAGGAATATTTCAGGGAAAAGGATGATCGATTCAACTCGTCCAATGATGAGAGGATACGGGTGACTTCAGAAAGGTGTGTGCCCTTGTTCCATGTCTTCTGGGATGCTTTATGCCATGGCTTTATCAATGGCTTTTGTTTGTGCGCTCACAGAAACAATCAGGGACCCCTTGTGTTTATTTTTATTGTCCAAGAAACTGTGAAGCTTATGAGAGAACAGAATGTTGTCTGAAGGGTTCACAGATCAAAATCCCAGACGTACAAATCCTAGACTTGTCCAGCAGACAGTAGCAACCGCCTTCCTGGACACTCCAGATTGTTGCCTTCAGCACAGGCTCAGACCAGAAACTGGAGAGTTCTGACCCAGACACAAACCAAGACAAACCCAACCCAACTCAAGGCTCTCCACCAGGTTTGCGTTTGATGTCAATCACTGAACGTCTTCTCCAAAGGTATAGATAGTCCTAGTGCCTGGCTTATGTGGGTGCTCAGTACCTTCTAAATAAACAACAGCACGAGACTTGTGAATTAGTTAGAATAATGGTTGAGGTTTTTGGAGGTTTTTGCTGGAATTATTTTATTTTTTCTTCTTCTACAGCAAGGTAAAACCAAAAAAATAAAAGCAGATTTTTCTACCCACTGGTCATATATTTTTAGATCTCATTGACCAAATAGTTTTGTGGACTAGCAGGGCTCTAAGAAAAATCTCAAAATAAAGAGAAAAGGACCCTTTTAACTCACTGAGTCTAGCTTTCTGCAAAGGAACTTACATTGTCTTACTTTCTTCATTGTGCTGTAGACTGGTAAGAACTTTGTTCCGGGCTGGCCCAGCATTTGGGAACCACTGTCCTAAAGAACATCCTGAGTGTTACAAAGCATTTGGTGTAACTTTAAATTGTAAACATTTGCGATATAAACAGGTCAGAAGCAAATTATAAGTAGTGGGGAAAGGTATAATACATTGATGATTTTAATCTCTATAATTCAGGCTTCTAAGATTTGAATCAGTCACCTCTGGTGGTCATGAAATGACATTTCGTCTGCTTACCCACTTCATACTTTTTCTAGTGGCTCTGTAGAAATTACACAAATGGCATTTTTCTGTCCCTGGCCCCTTATTTCTTCAAAGAGTGCGGTCTACGGAAGTAGGTGTGTATGCATATGCCATTGAGTGACTGTACCCTTAGATGCTCAGCTGATATTAACAAAGTTTAAAGCCCTGAATAGATTTAGTACACATCTGTCATTGCAAAATAGAACATTTCACAGTGATATGATGTGAAGCACTTTTCTGGCAAACTAAGAAAGGAGCTGTAAATCTAAAGATCTTTCTCGTTCTGAGGCCTTGAAAACGCTACTTATTAATGGACATATAACCATATGGTTCCCAGAAAATTGTGCCATGTAGACACAGGGCCCATTGCTCAGATATCTTCCCAAAGCCTATGTCCAGGGACCTTTGAAATGCTTTTTGAATTCAGAAAGCCAGAGACTGGGAGGAAAGAAAGGCAGGGGGAGGAAGTGTTGAGACACAAAGACGCCTTTTCCTCTCGGGGGCACCAGCATGAGAGGTGCGGACACCAGGGCATGGACATATTGTGGCCATATCACTGATTCCTTTTGGATGGAAACTGAAAGGAACTATAGCACCTCCACTTGATCCTCTCACCCCACACCTGCAAACACTCTCAGAAGACTCCTCCCCCCAGACGCTGTTCCTCTCTGTGTAGGTACAGAGTCTCGCTCTCCAGGAGGAGGACCAGGGTGGGCAATGCCCAGAAATCCAGGGCATTGGGCAGGCCCACTCTCCCGCTGTCCTAGGCATACCTGACCTTCTAACTTGGTCACAACCTAAATGAAACGTAATTCTGTTTTGTAGTTAGAGCCTAGATTTAATTCCTGTATTCATTCCCTTACTATTTCTTTCCTTTACTACTAGGTGCTGGGCTAGTATTCATAGAGTACATTAGGACAGGTGGGTCTTTCCATGTTATAAGAGAAAGAACACAGTACAATGGAAAGATTTTAATATTTCTAGTATCTAGCTATGTGACCTTGAGCAAGTTAGTTACTCCTCTGAACCTATGAACCTGTGGAATATCAACACGAAACTGTACAGTATAAAACGTTATTGAGGTGACATATGAGATGGTATGCCTCCAACGAGAAGCAGTTATTAGTATATGATCTACATATTTTATTTTGCATTGCGATCATTGCAGCCAGGTCATATCTTTGGTCCAGAGTGAGCCTACACTTCATTCAAATGAGGGCTCTTTCACATGAGCTGATTCAAATATCCTCAAATCTGTTCTTGTGAGATGTTTGTTTTTAACCTAAAATTGGGACTTAACATTCATTGCTATGAATTTTTTATACTTTTTTTCCCTTTTGACTCATTATTTCAGCACTTTGAGGACTCTGGATCTGATTTCATCATCCAGTATATTAATTTTTCATCCTATTCATTCTGTATCATTGTTGACTTAATAAGCCCGCCTACTATGCCTTCAGCATAATTCCCCAAAATGCTCGCCAGCACAGAGTAGGTGAACCGAGACAGTACCAAGGCATTGCACAATGCCAAAAAATCCTGTTCAGATGGCATCAGCCCACTGTTGACCATCCCTTGTCTGGTTAATCAGCCAGCCAGTACTCACATCCCTCTAGTCCGCCCCATGTGTCAACCTCCCTGCTAAAAATCACAATGTACTTTACCTCAAATATTGTATGTCGTGACACTCTATTAGTCTACATTATCAGAAAAGAGATGAGATTATTTTTTTATCATAAATTCTCATTTATGTAACAAAAAGCATTTATATATGTATACAAATATTAATATCTCTGCAACAACACACAAAAATGTGGCATTACTCTGGTCCGCGGGCCAATGCTCTAACTGCTGAGCCAAACCGGCCAGGGCAAAAATGTGGCATTACTGATGGACTCTCTAGAAAAGAGACAAGATTATTAGTGAGCCCATGTAGTCTTCTGTCAATAAACCCTATTTTTTTAAAGTACTCAAACGATACCATCTACTTAATTACCTACAACTAAGCCATTCTTTATGCAGCCTAGAATCTATGTCAAACTCCTATAATTTCTAGAATCCAGGAATGTTGAGTATCAGAAAACATTTTCCTGTCTGCAGCCTCCTGGCATTTCTTTTTAAGTTATTAAGAGTTACCTACATTTTCTGGTGATTACGGCTGGAAGTTCTTTACTGGTTCCTTCAACTCATTGAAGGCAGAATTCACAAACTGGTGACTTGCGGGCAGCATCTGCCCACAGAGGGCTATTGAGTTGGACTTGCAGTGATTATTAAAGTCCATTCTGAACGCCTTTGTACGGGTTGTGCTCTCTGCTGCCACGGAGTCCCGGCCTCTATTCCCTAGGCCTTGCCTGCGTCACCTGCCTACTCGATCTGCCCCGCCCATAGGCATCCAGATCATCCCCACTGGTCAGGTTCCAGAAGTTACGACTTAATTTTCTTCTTGGCAGCAACAACTTAAGCAAACTGGGATATACATTATTCCCAGTGTCATCTTTTAATCTAAACTTATCATTCCCAAGCCAATGGGCTTAGTATCTTTTTTTCACTTCATCTAGATCCAAAGAAGTGATAGACACATGACTATTAACAGTATATTTAACTTATAATTTTTCAAAACAAAGACAGACAGGAATAACTTAGGAGGTATGGAATTCATAAATAATCAAAAAGCAGTATAACCCAAAAAAAGATAAGCTTCACCAACCTCCTGCCATATCTTTTTCCACTGCTGGTCTTTGGTATCTCCATTGATTGAGTTGAATTTCAACTTTTCTTCCTTTTTCTTTTTTTTTTAAATATTTTTTTTAATCCTCACCTGAGGACATTTTTCCATTTTTTGTTCAGATAGAGCGGGAGGGAGAGAAAGGCAGAGAAAGAGAGAGCGAAACATCGACATGAAAGGGACACATCGAGTGGTTGCCACCCGCACGACCCAACCAGGGCCGGGGACAAACTGCCACCGAGGTAGGTGCCCTTAGCGGGAACTGAACCCAGGTCTCTCTGGACTGCAGGCCGACGCTCTAACTGCTGAGCCAAACTTGCCAGGGCTAAATATTTTTTTCTTTATTGATTTGAGAGAGAGGGGAAGGGAGAAACATCGATGAGAGAGAACATCGATTGGCTACCTCCTGCATGCCCCCTACTGGGGATTGTGCCCACAACCTGGGCATGTGTCCTGACCAGGAATTGAACCTGCGACCTCTTGGTGCATGGGTCGACGCTCAACCACTGAGCCACACTGACTAGGCTCCCTCTTTTTCTTCCTAGAGTTCATGAAAAGGATAATTGGTTCAAAGAGAAGCATAGATGACCCTAAAGGACTTAAATAATTCATCAGTTAGGTATCAGTCTATGAATAAGCAAGAATTACTTTTAGCTGTTCTGCATCATTGGCTTTGATTTAAACTCATTCCTCCCCACAAGAGCCCCGGTGATTGTGTTCACATGATACAGGATCGTTTCACCTTTCATCCCACACCCCCGCTACTGCTAGTACTCCAGGAATATTTGAAATGTCCAATAGTCATGGCCTGCCAATCCTTTTTTCCTTTAATCATATTTCCCTTAAACACATTTTGAGGATATCTGAAAGGAATGAGTTTCTGAAAAATAACAATCATTAAGTTAAGAAATTGCATATTGAAGCTAAAATTTTCTGTGCCACCAGAATCTTCTTTTAAACGTCCTTTTCCTCTTCACGTTGGCTAGAAAGGCTAGTCATCTTCTTAGCAGGGTTTTTCACTAACCTATTGAGCCCCTCTGATGGGCTCCTGGCTGCCACTATTTTGGGCTCCCAGGAGCAGGAGTCACCTCACATCTTTCCAAAACCGTGTTGTGTCCGTATGTGATCGCCTCCCGAGTAATTCTTACCTGAGCCACACAAGTTCTGGAGATGTGAAAGGGGAAAGAACGTCTTCCATTCCATAGTCTTTTGTTGTTGTTGTTGTTGTTGTTGTTGTTACTTAGTCACTTCTAGTATCTGTCTCCTTGTGGCTCCCTATTGATCCATAAATTTTTATCATTCTTATCTCCATTTTATCTCCTGAGTGGTTTGATCAGAGTCAACTCCTAATGACTAACAATCATGACCCAAAACTCTTGGTTTGTTCCTCAGACCCATTTGTTTTTTTAAATTCTCACCCAAGGATATTTTTTCTATTTGTCTTAAGACAGAGTAGAAGGGAGAGAGAGAAAGAAACATCAGTGTGAGAGAGATACATCTACTGGTTGCCTCCCGCACGACCCCGACCAGGGCCGGGGACCGAACCAAAACTGAGGTACGTGCCCTTGACCAGAATCAAACCCACAACTCTTTGGTCTGCGGGCCAACGCTCCAACCTCTGAGCCAAACCAGCCAAGGCCCTCAGACCTATTTATATCTGTGATGCATGCCCATTTATACTTAAGTTTTCTGGAATTTTTTTTAAATTAAGGAACACACCTTAGTTATAGAATAAATATATATAAATTTGACTCTGGGAGTATTTATTTTTTTATAACTCCTATATTAAACTCCTATCAGTTGCACCTATGACGTAAATGATTAATCAGTTAGGTTGTTAATCACATCCAGAATTCTGGTAGAAAATGGATAAACAGTACTTTTCATCCAGAGCCTCAGAGCCATTAGGAGAGTTTTGTGAAGAACAGTTGTTTCTTGACCCTGTTCTAACAGGCTTCCCTCCCCTACTTCCTTCCATTCCCTGAGGCCACACTTCTTCATTCTTGGGGCTCCCACTGGGCACCTCCTGTTTTCCCAGAGGAGCCGCTTCCTCTTTGCACCTCCTGTCTTCCTCCCATCTTCTTGGGCTCCTTCATCTCTGTGTCCCATTTACTGCCCACAACCAGGTCCCAACTCCTCTGTTGCCTCCTCATGGTGCCTTGGCTCTGTCTCTCACCTGCTAGTTTCCCTGACGTGTAGGTGAGACATGGGGAGCAGGGTCCCCACAGTTCAGAGAGATAGTTCACAGTGCTCAGACCAATGATCACATGCAATTATGCTAAAAGAGCATCTTTATCTCTTTCCGAATTAACCCTGTATACACTGGGCTCCAGGATACAGAAGGAGAAAGGAAAGAAAACTAGCCTGCCTTTTGTTATTCTGCCAGCACTAAAAGGCTAGGGGGACCCAGTATCTAGAGTATCCGAAACGAAAAGTCTCATTCTACAGAAATGCTTTCTCTGCCCTTCTTCTCCCTTTAATGAAGAAGTATTTTATCCACTTACCCAAAGCTTGTTGCATTGCAAAATAAGAAATTGCAGTACTTGCAAAAATCAAACTCCATCAGCTAGATGATGAAACAGTGAAGTATAAGTCTATAAGACACACAAACTTATTATTTTAAGTAATTTGTTTCTCGGGCTATGTTTATACAACAAAATAGAATGAAACAAGGAAAAGTTGTATTTTCCTTCTGAAATAGCTGTGTTGGCTGGGTGAATAGCCTGGGGTTTGCCAGGCACAGAATTGCTCAATTTATAAGTCTTTTGAGAATACACCTGGCCAGGGTGGCTGAGTGTGCCTGGACCCTGGTGTTGAAATGGGTATTCCTCCCTGATAGAGGTATTACTGTTATTAACACACCACCAACACTAGCACAACAGCTGGGGGACCCAACTCTAATTCCCGCCGTTCTTTGCACGACAGATTCTGTACCTGCAGGCAGCCAAGCAACTTACCGTACGTATTGGGAGCGCTGGGAAAGTATCTTGATGCTCTCTAGAAAAGTTGAGAATGGATCTCGTTCAGATTCTTCAAAAGCTTTTGCCTTTGGGCATTTAAAAATGAACCTTTGAGCTCAAACCATGCCTTGGCTTTGGTTTGTCTTTCCTAAATTAATTGCGGCAATTAAAAAATTTGGCACAATTTTATTTTAAATATGTGGCTTCTGTCTTGGTAAATAAATGTTCAGGTAGTTTATTAGACAACTGAAATTAAGTTCATAACAGTGATTGACTCAGTGAACCTGTGTTGACACCTGGCAGGTAGGTATTGGATTGGCAACAAGGGAATGGAAACAGGAATGTGAGACAGATCGTGCCCTTAAGAGTTTCCAGTGGGGAGAATCAAGACACCAGAAGTAACTGTCAGATAAGGCATCTGTGATCAGCTACCCAGAGAGACGGAGAGGAAGGAGTAGGATAATTTACATATTGATAGATATTCCAGAGATTACCACAAATTACTTTCTGTAATCTCAGTTAAATTTCTCAGGGTTTGTTTTTCTTTGATCACTGACAGGATTGGATTAGGGTAGATCAACTCCAGGTGCCTCAGTAACAGGACAATATTAATTCCTGTGGAGGCACTAAATTCTTTATAAGAACATAGTGAGGTGAAGGCCTGGGAGGGAAGCGGGGGGAGATCAATGGAGGAATAAAGTGGGGACAACTGTAATACTTTCAACAATAAAGATAAACTTTTAAAAATGGATTAAAGACATAAATGTAAGAGTTGAAATTATAAAAGAAAACTCTTAGAAGAAAACATAGGCAGTAAAATCTCTGACCTTTCTCTTAGAAAGTTTTCTGATAGATTTCCTTAGCAAGAGAAACACACAAAAAGATTATTGTGAATAACAACAACAAAAAAGATTATTATATAAATGCAAAATAAAAATAATTTCAGTTCATATACACTGCAATAAGAATAGCTACATTTAAAATTCTAGCAAAATTCTGGGTAGTTATCAAAATGCAACATTTTCATCGGGTTAGTGACTCTGATAAGCCAACACCCTAATACCTACTTAGGTCATTAAACCCTGTCCCAAGACATGGTGAAACCATAGGAGTGGTACAAGGGTGGGACTCCATTCTGATAAGAACTGTTCAACTTTGTTAAACTTATCAGGTTCGAGCATTAAATTCCATTAAGGGAAAAGGGGATTAGCCATTAAAAATCACAGGATTAGATCATCTCTAAAGCCTCTTCCAGGTCAAAAAGATTTGAATTCTATGAGTCTCTGAGGGCAGCACTGCCTTCTTTCCTCCCTCCACCGTCCTCACAACCTGTAACCTTTTGGTCCCCTCTGGTAGGACATTGATTACCAAGGTCCAGGCACAGCTTTGACCTCCCTGTCCATACACTCTGAGCCCCCAGCAGAGGAACCTGGCCCCTAGTGACTCTCATTCTCTCTGCTTCTCACAGGGTGGAGAACATGTCCATGCGCCTGGAGGAAGTCAATGAGAGAGAGCACTGCATGAAGGCTTCACTCCAGACCGTGGACATCCGGCTGGCGCAGCTCGAGGACCTCATCGGGCGCATGGCCACAGCCCTGGAACGTCTGACAGGCCTAGAGCGGGCTGAGTCCAACAAAATCCGCTCTCGGACCTCCTCGGACTGCACAGACGCAGCCTACATCGTCCGCCAGAGCAGCTTCAACAGCCAGGAGGGGAACACCTTCAAGCTCCAAGAGAGTATAGACCCTGCAGGTGAGGAGACCATGTCCCCAACTTCTCCAACCCTAATGCCCCGTATGCGAAGCCATTCTTTCTATTCGGTCAATGTGAAAGACAAAGGTGGTATAGAAAAGTTGGAAAGTCTTTTTAAAGAAAGGTCCCTGAGCCTACACCGGGCTACTAGTTCCCACTCTGTAGCAAAGGAATCCAAAGCTCCTGCAGCCCCTGCAAACACCTTGGCCATTGTTCCTGATTCCAGAAGACCATCATCATGTATAGACATCTATGTCTCTGCCATGGATGAGCTGCACTGTGATATAGACCCTCTGGACAATTCCATGAACATCCTTGGGCTGGGCGAACCAAGCTTTTTGGCTCAAGGACTTTCCACAGCTCCTTCAAGTAGTGCCTATGCAACTCTCGCACCCACAGACAGACCTCCTAGCCGGAGCATTGATTTTGAGGACATCACCTCCATGGACACTAAATCTTTTTCTTCAGACTACACCCACCTCCCAGAGTGCCAAAACCCCTGGGACACCGACCCTCCGATGTACCACACCATCGAGCGTTCCAAAAGTAGCCGCTACCTACCCACCACGCCCTTCCTCCTAGAAGAGACCCCCATCGTGAAGTCCCATAGCTTTATGTTTTCTCCTTCGAGGAGCTATTACGCCAACTTTGGGGTGCCCGTGAAAACAGCAGAATACACAAGTATTACTGACTGTATTGACACAAGGTGCGTCAACGCCCCACAAGCGATTGCTGACAGAGCCACCTTTCCTGGTGGTCTTGGAGGCAAAGTGGAGGACTCCTCTTGCTGCCATCCTGAGCGAGAAGCAGAACTGAGTCACCCCAGCTCTGACACAGAGGAGAATGAGGCCAAAGGCCGGAGGGCCGCCCTGGCAATACCCACACAGGAGGGCGATAACTCAGACAGAACCCTGTCCAACAACATCACGGTTCCCAAGATAGAGCGCGCCAACAGCTACTCGGCAGAGGAGCCAAGCGCGCCATATGCACACACCAGGAAGAGCTTCTCCATCAGTGACAAGCTCGACAGGCAGCGGAACACAGCAAGCCTGCGAAATCCCTTCCAGAGGAGTAAGTCCTCCAAGCCGGAGGGCCAAGGGGACAGCCTGTCCATGCGGAGACTGTCCAGAACATCCGCTTTCCACAGCTTTGAAAACAAGCACAACTAAACCTTCCTAATAAGCATTGCAGGAGGCTCAAGAACCCAGTCCCAACCTTCTCCCCTTCCCCTCCCTTGAAACATACCTGCGTTATTCTTAGCTGAGCAAAACAAGCAATGCCTTAGGAGGTGTTAACTCAAAAGTGACTTCTGGGCCACAGATCAAAAAAAGCATTTGACCTGGCCCAGTGCCAAACACAGGGGATATGTCACGCTCACACTTGATGGGTAGGGAGGGGAAAGAGAGGGAGAAGAAAGGTGGAGATGAATGTGTATCACTAGTCACTTCAGAAAGCCTCGCGCTCTGGGAATGAAGCGTGTCACACATCCTCCGTGCCAGGAGGCGTCTTTCCGTGTCTGACCGTTGACAGGAGTTTTAGGATGCAGGGCTAAATTGCAAAATAAAATAAAATAAAAAAGTAGCCAGCATACAAATGAGACATTCTAAACTTCCATTCTGTTTTCTTTTCACATTGGCTCCATCACTGGTGACTGATGAAGAGCACCCTTTTTATTCAGTATAAGCCGGCAGCAAGCAGTTCTACCTAACATCCTTCTCATGCCAACACTTCCGTAATTGATCAGTATACAGACAAAACAAGGTAACAGTCACAGTTCACCTGTCTCTTCTATCTTCACTTCTGGTGCCACAATTGTTTATCTTTTTTTTTTTTTTTTGAAGAAAATAAGGGAAAAGAAATGCCTTTTTGTATTGCACGTGAAATGAAAGAAGAATTTGTGTTAAAAACAGATGTCAAGTGGCCTAGTATATGCAGTGGGCATTCACGGCTAGTCGAGCAAGCTCAGGATGAATGTAACTAGATACTTTTATATTTTTTAATTTATTTTGTATCTCACCTGACATCAATGAATTCGCTCACTGAATATATAATAGTGAACTAACAAAACATAGAGTGGGCAGAACTCACCTGAAATTGCCATATGGGACATGGGTGTGTTCTCACCGTCCGTGTCGTGTGTGCTGCTGCTGTGTGGCCTCCATCGTCTGCATGCCTCCCCCGCGCCGTCGGCACACCTCCGCGATGTCACTGCCAAGTTTCCACACCGCATCACGTGACCATTGTATATATGAATATCTGGTGGATATTTTCATACCTAGAGTTTTGCCATTTAATCTGAGCTCAGCATAAATTTAATTGGAGTTTTTCAAGGGCTGGTATCTTTTTTATGGAAATGTTCCAAAGTACTTTTTAAGGAAGTCTCAAAACCATAAATAACCTTAGAATTGACTGGGAGTTTGGTATCAACCCAAAGCCAACAGTTGCAAGCATGCCATGGATATTTGTCTTATATGTAGAGCTATAAAAATGATACAGCAGACTAAAATAGAAAGCAAATCAACCATGTAAAGAGTGCTATAGCATATGCTTCTTATATACATATATATGCATTTACACACAGAGACATGTTATATATGGTATATAAACAAGCATAGAGCTTCCTTAAGAGGCTTGGACTTTTCTATCACCTTGAGGTATAACCAGAATTTTTAATACCCAAGGAATTTCATTGAAAGAATTCATTATATTTTGACAGATGTTGAAATTATGATTTAAAAAATCTCTATAAACTTAAATTTTTCTTGTACCAAACTAGAGTTGTCATGACTTGCTATCTGTCCCCTGCCCCACCCCCACCCCCTGTTATTTGTCCAAAAGCAGTCACCATTGTGACATCTCATTGAGTCTGTTTCTCCTGCACAAAGCAATTATACCAAGCACAATCTGAACATACACAATTCTAACCCAGATAGTACTATGGGTTCTAGAATACAGGTATATATGCTTCTAGATCAAAATCTGGATTTAAAGTATGATAAAGAAATGTTGATTCTCAAATCTTTGGATTTCTATTTGGAACACTAATTTTTTAAAAAGAATCAAGTCTTGAAAGAAAGTGACAGTATTCCTGGCCCCAGAAGAAACCTGGTTCCTTGGTTTAGTTGTAGTTGTAAACTCCAAATTTTCTCATTATATGAAATATGAGGATAAAACCTCTAGCCTTTAAATATTTTATTTTATTTTTATCCTTACCCGAGGACACCTTTCCATTTTTGTTCAGATAGAGTGGGAGGGAGAGAGAAGAAGTGAGAGAGAGAGAGGAAATGAGAGAGAAAGAGAAACATCGACATGAACGGGACATATCAAGTGGTTGCCACCCACACGACCCAACCAGGGCCGGGGACAAACTGCAACCAAGGTACGTGCCCTTAGCGGGAACCGAAGCCGGGTCTCTCTGGACCGCGAGCCGACGCTCTAACCGCTGAGCTCTAACAAACTGGCCAGGGCTAAATTTTTTTTTTTTTTTTTAATAAAACCTCTGAATAAGCTTTTGGGTATAGGAATAGTAATGAGGCCACATATAAAGAATTAAGGAATTCCTTTTTCATTTCTTAATATTTAGGTGAATCAGAAACAAGCAAGTAGCATCCTTTGTATATAATTGCTGAAGAAAGATTTATATTTTTTTGGAACCCAAATTGGCTATTTTCCCCCTCAGCAAACATGCATTTGGTCTGAGAATAAGTCCGTTGCCCTCAAACTTCCTAGGGCCGTGAATCTCTATGAGGATCTGATGAAATCTCTGGACCCTCTCCCCAGAAAATAGTGCATATACATGGAAAGTTGCAATATAACTTAAAAGGGTTCCTGCACCCCGGTTCCATAGTGGTTGATAATGAGGAAGAGAAACCATCTTTGTTCATAATCAATATGGTTGTAATAGGCACTTTACATTTTGAGACCAATTCTCTGTGATTCTCAGGAAGGCCACGTCTCAACACCAGAGTTAGAACCGAGATTTTGTTATTTTTATTTCTTAGATTAGAGTTTGCTAGTTTGATGCGCTTACATCCTAACGTGGGGTGATTTTACGCATGGAGCGCACTCACGAAGCCGGAAGGCTCAAAGAGGGAGGGGACACTGTTACTCTTTGAGCACAAAGCAGGGTATCGCAGCACCTCCAGGGCCTTATTCTGGACCAGACTGAAAGTGGGGAAAGAATTTATGAGCCCAGGTGTTTCCATTAATTGAAATTTCTGGAGAGAACAGAACAGGACCTGGGAAACAGTACTTAACAGGCCTGGCCCTGTGACTACATGGGTTTTTTGTTGTTGTTTGGGGGGGTTTTTTTGCATGAAAATAAACTTCTTACATCTTTTGTGATGTGTGTGAAATATATAAGCCAAATTTAAATGACTTCAAACACAAACTGTGTACCTTTCATAAGCCATTTGCTTCCTGTGCACATACATGTGTTACGTTTTGATCCATTTCTTTCCATTTCTGGACCCTTTGCCCACCGATTGGCATTGACTCTGTGGCCTTGTACAGCTTGTGTGCAGTTCATTTATCCTGCCACGACCCTAATCGAGGGGACGTTAATCACCTGTCTCTGTGAATTAAGCAGCTCACAAGCAGCAAGTTATTGAGAAACATAAATAAAGTCATAGAGAACTCGAGGAAGTAATAGCTTTGGTTTAATCATCTGTTTCTAAGGTGCCAATTTTTATATGCTACTATATGTAATGATTTATTCTAAATGGTTTGGTCCTTTCGGAAGAAAATAAGGACGTTTTATGAAAATGACTGTGGAAATTTCCTGATTAACCAACATACCTTATATTTATAGTTAGAAATGCCCTCCTTAATGGATCTGAATGAGGAGCTGGAAAGCTTGGGGATACTTGTCATGGCTAGTTTGTGTATTTCTCCAAGCCAGACGGTGTATTAGTGGTCAGAATGCAGCACTTTACAGAACTGGATTTTTTTTTAAGTCTAGGCTTCTAGGTCTAACATATTATTTAGCACTTTGAAAGTCCCCCTTTGAAAATATATATATAAGAATAATCAAATGGGGGGAAAAAATGTACTTGTAAAAACACAAAATGTGTTTCTTCTGAATGTTTCAAATGTATTCTAAAAGATGGTTTCTATAGATAATAATTATGGTAGATAACTGGATAGTACATTTATTCTATTTTCTGAGGCTGTACAGTCTAATCTTCCTGAATGTTTGAGCTGTTTAACTTCTCTAATGATAATAAATATTATCCAGTCATCCATCATGCTATATCTATAGGCTATACCATTCAATATGTTGGGCAATACTGTATTATAAAATACATGTAAACATGTACGTAACCCGTGTTTAACCCAGCATAGTTGTAGCATGTGGTTGTGTTAATGAACGTTACAGGACAGCTTTATAATCATTTACAAATCTGTAACATTCAATAAAGAAACACATGTTGCAAGGATGAATTACGTCCCCAATTCCATGTTATTTAGCATCCTCATGAAATGGGCACTTTTGTTCCTGATCTGCTTTATGTTTTTCACTTTCCTGTAGACCACTGTAAAATATTTGTATACGCTGATGTTCAGCCTCTAGCCAGCCCTGCGAGTTGTGGTAGGCACATTGTGACTTTGGGGAAGACGAACTGGCATGTCATGCAAAAGACTATCTGACACATGAACTTCAAGTAATATTTTAAACTCCAGTTTCATTAGCTGTTTGTTTACATCTGCTGACCCGGTGTGGAAGCAGTGTACAGTATTTTATAAATATGCTCATTCAGTAGCACTACTCTGTTTGTTTCTAGATAAAGTGATGCTAATGTGTAGCTGGTAATATAACTGTTTTAGATACTGCATTATTGCTCACTCCTCTTTAACAATAGCAATGTGACTTAGATGAAGCAATCCCGCTCCAAACCCTGACTTAATTTTGTGGCAACAAAATGCATGCACTGCTTTATGCATTTCTTTTGACGTTTTAAAGGCACTTAACATTTTACTCTGCCTGCTGTGATGCTGAAACCAGTTAGGAACTCACTCACATTGTTGGGCTTCTTGCACTGTTTGGAGATTATGTTCAAGTTTTAAAAATTAAAAACAAAAGAAAGTAACCAAGGGTTTTTTTTTTAATCTTGTTTTTTAAAGCTCTGGACAAGTAACATGAAACATGAAATAAAGTATTAACAGCAGAGTATATAGCTATGGGACCTACAGATGGCTAGCCGATACCACTTGGGTTTACCACGGTCTAGGTGTTGGTGCATCTGTGATACATGAAAGACACATTTCTGATTCTTTAGGGCCACTGGGTACAGATTGCTAAACCAGAGATGAGAGTGCGAAGCCCACTGATGACAGTGCAGAAATCCACTGATCGTTATGAATCAGTGGTCCAGGGATACAACATATGATTCCCTCCTACCTGGTGGCTTTTCTCTTGCGGGTAAGCCTGCCTGGGGGCAGGCGAAAGATGGGGGACTGGGAGTCTGATTGAGCACTGGGTAACTCTGAAGAGTTTGCCCTTTTAAGAAATCACCATTTCATTATTAGAAGCCATTCAGCATCTGGAAAAGAGAGGAGCCAATCTGCAGTCTTATAAATGACTGCTTCTCAAACACGTGTAGAAAACGTTTTCTCTCAGCCGCGCTGGCCTAAGCTTTCTCTTCTTTTACATCGTGGTCTCTCACTCAGATTAGAGTTAACCGAAAGAGGAGTTGGTTCTGATGTAAGGAAAACAAGATCTTTTTCCCCCTTCCTTTTTTTTTTAATTCATTTGAGAAGGTAGTTGCGTTACTCTTATCTGATGAATCCCTTGCACTGATTACTGCAAATGAAATCAAGACATGACAATTTCTACATGTTGTCTAAAGATTTCAGTGGCCGAGTAGCATGGACATGGCAGGTGAACTCCCCCAACCTTAAGTTCAGGCCACTGCCTATCTGCACAATGTTTGGAAAAGGACGTGTCCATAGGCTTTCTGGGGAAGTGTCAACACCAAACTTGACCCAGGCCTTGCTCTGGTGGAGGCAGGCTGCCAAGAGCTAGGGGACACAGCAGAAGTTCAGCCTCATGCCTGGGGTGCAGTCTTCTTCAACCCCTGCACTTTCTCCCTTTCTCTTAGCCCAGCACAAGATGCTTTTTTTGGCCAGACCAATAGACCCTGGCTTCCATGACCTCAATACCCCATGGACTTTGGCACAGTAAGCTAAAACAGTGGCTACTTTTAAAAAGCCAAACATTCTGACTTTGTTCCAGCCCTAATCTTCCCACTGACTTAGCCTCCTGCCCGGCTCTACCCCACACAACCCACTTGGCTGGTGTTCGTAGCAGCCACAACCAAGTCTTTGCCTGTCTAAATCTCAAAAGGGTCCTTCACATCTCCACCCCAGCTTCCCACATATCGTCAGAACCAGCCATCTGCATCCAGATTGTGAGTTTGCAAACTCAAGTAGGTGGAGGGGCTGGATGCGGAGCACAAGTGCACTGGTGAGAACAACAGGAAGAAGTAGGGTCGGTCGGGTATGAGAGAACACATGTCCCAGTGCAAAGACGCTCACATTCGGATTTGTAAACACTGTGCTAGCCAAACAAATGTACCTGCCAGCAGCATTCAGTCCCAAAGGCAATCGCTCGGGACCTGTGATTTAGAGCCAGCCGGGATCAGATTCTCGATTCCAACTCAGTGAGCGTCTACACAAAACACTGAGAATTGAGGTGGGAGAAAGGCACTCGCCTTATTCGGGGGCATCCCATCCTCCTGAGTGATATGTGCCACATCATTCTGGACCCGAACACGGGCTCTTTTGAGGGAGATTCAGAAGAAGGTGCCGGAGCACTGTGTCAGGCTCGCCTGCTTCCTGTCCCTGCAGCGTCTGACCTGAGTTTCTGCGGCTGCTCCAGCTCGGCGAAACACCGCACGCAGTAACTGTGCTCACTGCCGTCTCAGAACATGGAGCTTAGACTCTCATTTGTAAATGTTCTAACCATAGTTTGTAATGGGGAGATTATTGAAATATCATTTTTAAATGAATTCCTATAAATAAGACAATTTTGAAATTGGGTTTGTTAAATATATATACATCTTTTCCTCCTTTATGTACGGACAAGCAGCGGTTTGCGTATCTATCGACATTATAAATATATATAAATTCTTAGAGGAATTGTTCTTTTTTAAAGGTCTATTATTGGATTCACAATGCACTTTGAGCTTGTTTGTTTAGATATATAATTCGAAG